TATATATATATATATATATATATATATATATACACACACACACACACGCACACACACACACACACACAATGGAATACTACTCAGCCATAAAAAAGAGTGAAATCCTACCATTTGCAACAACATGGATGGACCTAGAAGGTATTATACTAAATTAAATAAGTCAGACAAAGACAAATATTGTATGTTATCACTTATATGTGGAATCCAAAAAATAAAACAAAGGAATTAATACAACAAACAGAAACTGACTCACAGATACAGAAAACAAACTAGTGGAGAAGGAAGGGGGGAGAGGCAAGATAAGAGAAGGTGATTAATAGGTACAAACTAGTACATATAAAATAAGCTATAAGGATATATTGTACAGCACAAGGGATATAGCAAACATTTTATAATAACTTTAAATGAAGTTTACTCTATAAAAATTTTGAATCACTATGTATACCTGAAACTAATATAATATTGTAAATCAACTATACCTCAATTTAAAAAAAAAAAAGAAAGGGCATCACCTAGGGGAAAAAAGAGCAGGGTTAAGAGACTAGAAGTGGGAAAATGAGGTGCAATTTTAAATAATATGGTCAGGGTAGGATTTGAAGAAAGGTTTCTTATATTTGAAGAAACCTTGCAGGAAGGTAAAGGAGTTTCATCCTAGGTGAGAGAAATTCTTTGAAAACTTATCTTACCTGGAACCCACAAGAAACGGGCATGGTCAAACCTTGCCCTGTTGCGTTTCCCACATGTAAGTCTTTTGCATCTTCCTGGTTTGGGGGAATGAGACTCTCAGTGCATGTCAGCTGATGTTGCTGATAAAGGAAGTCATTCACCTGGAAGCCCTGACCCTTGACATCTCTGAAAGAACTGTGCCATATTTCAGGCTGCCTCATCAGGGCAATGACTGAAAGTGTCTCATGCATGCAACAGGGATTGATTTTGAAATGTGTCTTTCTTGAGTCATTTGAGTGATGGCTTCGTTGTCCAGGCGGCAGCCCTGCTCCCACGAGCCTCAGGCATACTTGCTCAGCGTTCCAAGATGGGATTGAATAAGCGGTCCGGTTTTGTATAGAAGCCACTGCCAATCAATAAACAACACCTTTACCTTGCAAGCCGCTGGGGGAAATTATTAAACAGTCATTTCTATAAGAAAAAAAGCTGAAAATGACTTTACAGCTTTTGTAGCTCATAGTTTCCTCTGTTTCTTTCTTTCATTTTTTTTTTTTCCCTTGGCAACATTCCTGTGCATTTCCATGATGTAGGTAGGAAGGCTGGGGAGGTTGCCAAGAGAACTAGCTCAATTTTACTAAAAATTCTTTTCCTAGAATTTTTTTTTCTAAGAGCTAAGGGATAAAAGATACGTTTAAAGGGAGGAGATACTGCCTGTATTCAGTTCTTTGCTAAGCTCTGTGGTCATTTAAGCTAAAGCATTTAATGCCAATGGAAAGGTATTCATGCCACGCTAGGTGCTGTTGTAACCCGCGCTTGGCAGTCGAGATGAACTCAGCTGGAAGGCACATTCTTCACAGCCAGGACCAGCTCCAGAATTTTAAACATGATAAGAAGGTACGTCTTATGTGATCCTGTCTTTGTAATAAGTGACACTAGAAGCTTCAAATAGTCTGTTTTAAATGGTGTTTAAAACAACAGATACAGATGATATATTGTTGTTCCTGCACAAATTTTCCAAATTCCTTCTGACTTATATGCGTTCCACCTCCTTTACTACTAAGTGACATTTTTTTCTGACCAACATTTTAAATTAGATTTGCAAAAGGAATGTTAAGCATCAGGTAACAAAATTGTGTCTCAGTTAATTTGTTATCACCTGTGCTTCACATGCAAGAGATATTATTCCTGGCCCTATTATTAAAATTCACTTGTCTTTCTTCCATATTCATGAGTTTGTAAATGTATAGGATTAGGATTAGGCTACAATTTTTTCTTTTCTACAAGGCAGAGATTTTAATAACCTGTTATCTACATGGAATGTAATGATA